TATTTGGAATGTTAATATCATTAAATACGATTTCCATACATTATATATAAAATTCGTCGATCGTTATGGTTATATTATCAATTCTAAGATAAAGTTGTCCTCAATAAACTAAATTCTAAATTGTCTTTGTAAAACAACATTACTACTCATCTACAGAATGCTCTTAAAAATGGACGTCGATTAAAATTTATTTAATTTACAGTTTTATAAATAGTAACGTACTATACATTTACTGGTAACCTTTAAATTGGCGAAATCGTAAAATAAAATAAAAATATAATAATTCCAATACAATATAATTTATCCAATGTTAACTAATATAAAAACCAGCAACAAATTCAATGTTCAGTTTCAATTATTACATCTTTTTATAAAATAATTCTATTCTAAAAATTATTAATAATTTCCAACTTTACAAATGTAATTTTATATACTACGTATATATTATAATAATTGTTTGAGACCTCATATTTAATATCGAGACCTTGTATTAAATGTTTTGTATTACGATTATAAAAAAAGACAAAAAATAACTGAATGCTCTATTTTACTGTATACTTGAATGCGTATATTTTCATTATATTTAGGCTTCATGTATTATTACAGCGATACCATAGAATTTTATTATTTTTATTCTATATGAAATGAAATCCGATATATATTTCGTCTCCTAATTACTTACGAGTGACTATCTATGAATGAATGAAGTGGATATCTATGAAATTACACTGGTTTATATATTACTCACATAATGAAATAATCCATTGAAGAAAATAATTTAAGACGGGAGTTTTGTAAGCTTGACGTAAACCAATATTTTAATATATAAATTTTCTGTGTAACGCAATAAAAATGAACACATTCGTATGCTTGAAACTTAATGTCCGCTCTGTACAGGAAAGAAACTTTGTGCAAAGAATCTCTGAATTACGGTGAAAAAATTAAAAAATCTATAAATGTTTTATCTATAAATACATAACCGAATGAATAGTACGTATGTAAAATACTAGAAAATTAAGATATAAAGATAAAATCTTTTCCCAAGTATGACAAAAAATAATTCTTTAATCAAAATTAAATTTACTTAAAGCTAAAACAGAATGTTTTTATAGTTTGGAAACAAGTTCTTTCAAATCTAAATATTTATGCTAGTAAAAATCGGTAGATTTAAATAAATTCGTAAAATATCATTTTTATTATTACAATCTAAAAACAATATTTGTTAACTAAAACAATATTTTTTTTTTTATTTTTTTTTTTCATAAAACATCATTTATGAATATTTGTTGCCGTTGCTATAGAAGATAAAAAAAAATTCATTATTGTTGTAAATATTGTTTCCACGAATCATGTAAACAGTCTTTAACTATATTATACATATTTTAATTTAGAACTTAATTTTTCTCTTAATATTTATACTTCTTATAATTGTTTCAAGCTATTATTAAAATAGAATTATGCATTTAATGGTTTAATTTACTATCAATAAATGAAAAGGAGTATAATAAATGATTTGTAAGCGTAAAGACTAAATATATAAATATCCAAATTTTTTAACAAATATATATGTCTGTGTATGTCTGTCTGTCTGCCTGTGTGTGCATTTCAATATTTATGTGAACGTATACATTCATATTAAAGTCCCAATATAATTTTAAGCTTATTTTCTTTTAAATATAAAATTAATCCTTGTATTTATTTTCATGAGAACAGAAAATTCTATTTATTAGGCATTGAAGAGGCTAAATTTTTAAATATTTTTTTAATTATAACAAAATGAAATATCAATGGGTAATTTATTTACCTGTCATTGACAAAACGATCGTTGCATTTTTTTTTTTTTTTTTTTTTTTTTTTTTTTTTTTTTTTTTTTTTTTAATAAAATGTCTCTTTAACTACAGACTAAGAGTTCCATAAACCTAAAATACTTCCGATTATGAGTAAATGTTAATAAAAAAAAAAAAAAAAAAAAAAAAAAAAAAAAAAAAAAAAAAAAAAAAAATTATATATAGCGTCAAATTGGAAGAACAAATCTTCAATTTGTTTTATTTCATTGCTTGAGTTTATCATTTGCTTTGGGTAGAAATCTAATAAAATTTTTTTATGACTGAATTTTTCAGAGCATAAATTAATTACACCAGCATTATTTTTAAAATAAATAATTAATAACATGATATTAATTTGAACAAAATATAAAGTAACCGTTTAAAATTACTTGTTTTAATTAATGATTTGCTCCTATCAAATTTAATATTAAAATTAAAATGAATATGTAATATTGAATTAATGATAAAGATTAGAAATTTTCCCATTATATGTAAAATGATAGTATCTTATATGTGGGGTATCAATATGGTTATAATTTTTAAAATGGCAACTATTTGTATCAAATTTTATAATCCGATATAAAAATATTGGGTTGAGTTGAGCTGAAAAATTATAAAAATAGAAAAAAATAAATATTGCATTTTCAATGACATACTCTAGTATTTTGACGAAGCTGTAATTTTATCTATAATATGTGTAATAATTTCTTTTAATTCTATTAATAGAGAATCTAACGTAAATAATTATACATCTCATATTAAATACTAACTTTTCTAAACTATTGGTAATAATGCGTTTCTATTAATGGCCATTTCGGTGATACAGAAATTAAAACAATGAAAGATTGCAATTTATTGTTTTAGACTTATTAATCGCAGTATTAATATTAGACCCATTATAGATGCAATTAAATGGAGAAATTCTTTTAAAACGCAACACGAATTCTCATTAATCATGAATGAGAGTGATTGCACTTCTAGAAACTGAATAAAATCGGATTTAAGAATAATTTTGCGGAAAATGAGACATTACGTTCGGAGAATGGCGATTTGATAGTTTTCGAGCGCAGCGGTGACGACGAAGCGCTTTTCTCTGATTACATGAGAGGCAAACGAGACTAGCCACGTTCTGACGCTGACTCAAGTCGTGTGAACATCTCTGATGTTAAATATTAGTTAAGTTACAGGGCTTTTACGTTTGCAAAAGTACTAATTCGCGAGAGGAGTGTACAAGTTGGAATGGAATTGCCTAACATTACATTCGTTAATTGGATTTTATCATTATTTCAACAGTCAGTGTTTTTTTTTTTTTTTTTTTTTTCCCCAATAAAGTTTTGTTTTTTTTTTCAATAAAGTTTTGTTTTACAAAAATTATATAATTAAAATCTTACATTGCATTGATAATAATAGGATATAGCCAATAATAGATTTGAATTCCTTTATTTATCGAACTTACTAATTTTCTTATAATATAATTTTTCTTCAAGCATGTGAATAAAAATTTAACTATTCTCTGTTGAACAAACATAATCCTCGCAATATAAGTAAAATATAAAATGCATTTGATAAGGCCTTGAAAATCATAGTTTTATCATTTTATATCAAATTTATTAGCTAAAATTTAGGAACAAAAATGAATTGATTATAATAAAGTAAACAATTAATTTTTAAAAGGTTATCAATTATTATGCCCCTACTCATTTTCATACAATAAAACGCTTGCGAATATAAAGTTTAAAATACTCTTGGGTACTATCGAGGTTGATACATATATACTACATATACATAATCTAAGCTATAAAGATGTGATTTCTTATGTATCTTTGAAATATAAACATAATATATAACAGAGATTTTATTTAAAAGAGTAAATTATAAAAATGAAATAGAAAAATTGTTTTTTACAAACTATTTATATACTCGATTGCGTCTATTGCATAGTTATTTTTTATTATTGAAATTATTATTTATTTTTAACAACCTTTTTTTTGTTTGTTTGTTTCTGTTTGTTTCTTTTAATTCATCATTTAAATAATTAATTTATAATTTATAAAAATATTTAACCGTGTATCTATCTATAACCGCAGTGCTCAAACGTGTATATATGCCTGAGCTCACACACATGCCCCACACGCGCGAGCGCGCAACCACGGATTACTCATTATTTTTGTGTTTTGTTAGAAATAAATAAGATTAACGTTTGAATTTGAAGCATTTATAAAGTCAACACTTTTCACTATATATCCCTCATCAAAGGTATTTTAACACATTCAATGTTATAACCTGATATAACACACGTACACATAAAAAATGTTTTTCTTAAAAAGATAACTAATACACGTACCAAAACAACAAGCTTACAACAAGCATTCTACTCATTAAAATTTATTTATAATCTGCATATACATTGATTAAAATTAAGTGCTGATGAGATGCAGTTTATCAAGCTTTCGAACTATGAAATTTAGGGTTGTATAAATAAATAAATAAAAAATTTGATATACTAAGGAATAAAACTAGAGAGTAATTATTAAACATTATATTTGTCTGCTTATAATTATATAATTATTTACAATAACATAAATGTATCGAGCTAATATAAATTCAATGTTACCAGTAAAATTGTTATACAAAGTGATAAATTTTTTTTTTTTTTTTTTTTTTTTTTTTTTTTTTTTTTTTTTTTTTTTTTAACAGAAAATTGTATAAAAAAATACAATTTTAGCAAATAGTCTAAAATTGAGCCTACAAAACATTTGAATTTTTTTTTTTTTTTTTATTTTATTTAAATAGTCTATATTGAGCCTTCAAAACATTTAAATTTTTTTTCATCATCTTGCAATATAAAAAGTATTAAAATATTACGAATAAGCTTTAAAAAGCTAATGGCTTTGCATAAAGTATGATGACTTTAAAATGACTTTGAGAAGAAGTTAAAAGCTAATATTATTAGTGGAAGTCGACGCTTTGTATTTACTGTAATTTTCATTGGCACAGTAAAATAAAATAATAAAAAAATCATCGTACCCACGGTCTCATTGATAATCAAACAAGACTGATATTAATGAAGTGCTCGGTCGACATTGTAATCTTAATCCCCATGAAAACATCGAACACGAGGGAGAATAGAGTTTTTGTGGGTAAAAACTGTCAATGGGAGAAGGCGAAACTTACCATTCGATGCTACGGTATCCTCGAAGGCAGCAGTGAATCGCCTTGAAAGAGCCGACGTTCGCGTATTCGCTGCTCACGACTTCCTTAGTAAAGCGCAGTCCTGACGAAAGATTTTCGAATCTATGCATCGAGCAATAATCCTTGAGCTCGTTGTCCTCGGCTCGAGTCTTGGGGACGAAAATCGTCAGCGACAGCAACAGTGCCACTGTAATGACGAATCGTGCCATTTCTTCAAAGTCGCGCACAACAAGCACAGACACCGTACTATCCTTCACTTTTCTTCCTCTTCCTCTTCCTCTTCCTCTTCCTCCGCCGCCTCCTCCTCCTCCGCCACCTCCTCCTCCTCCTCCTCCTCTACTTCTTTTCTTTTTCTTCTTCTCGGAAACAATAAATAAAATTATGAAGTACTTTGATTTATCGGGTGCTCACATCTTTGATTTATCTCGAGAGCCTTTTTCTTCTCTATTTATTATCTAGGGCCATTGAATACTGGCAGAATCTCGGATCTGGAAGTGGCGCAACGGGGAGGGAAAAACTAGATGGATAAATGTTAAATAATCATATTTGTATTAAAAATAGACAGTAGTAGTGCGTGCCAAACAAAAAATTCATCAACTTATTAATGAATAGCTTACGTATATGTATGTATATGCGCGTGGGGGGGGATGCGTGCGTGCGTGCGTGCGTGCGCGTTTAGAGATAAAGAGAGAAAGAGGGAGGGAGGGGGGGGGGGAGAGAGAGAGAGAGAGAAATCGCGTGGAAACGGAATGAAAGGTAGACGGAGGTAAAGAGGTACAATGTTTGTCGTCAAACAAGACTAACCTCTTCTTGCTCGTCTTGTAGGCTCCTCTAGATTGTTATACGAGGCGGAGAGGCCCGTGCGTCTTTATAAAAGGACAGGAAAAACCACACACTCTTATAACCTCACTTTTTCCCACCTTTGTAATCAATGGTTCATTAAGTTAATCGTGAAACGTCGATGAACCGTTATGCGTCAAGTTGCGCGCGTAAAACATCAATGCCAGTGAAAATAGAAAATTTTTTATTATAGCGCTCGATGTATTATTGCTGCTCGTTGCGATTCTCATCGAGTCAGCAACGCTTTCGCTTTAATACTGTGCTCGCGGAACTAACAACGACCATTATCGGCAAATTTTCAACTGAAAAGCTTATACGCCAAATGCAACAACGCACGCACAAAACGAACGCTCGAAGGCCGGCGGCAGACTAATATCACGTTGTACGTTTTACCTATTCGACAAGAGTCCGACGACGTAGGGGACGCCGCGGCTGCTGTTGTGGCGGTGGCGGTGGCGGTGGCTGCGGCGGTGGCGGTGGCGGTGGCTGCGGCGGTGGCGGTGGTGGTGGCGGTAGCGGTAGCGGTGGCGGTGACGGCAGCGGCGTCGGCGGCGACAGTGGTAGCGGCGTCGGCGGCGGCGGCGGCGGCGGCGGTTTTGAAAAGGCGCCGAAGCTGCCTGTTGCCAACCCGATGGAGCCACGATCGCGCGCACAATGCCACCCGTCCTTACGCCTTCGCCATTCTAGTGCTCGAGTGGCTGAAGGCGATCCGTTGGTGTGGGTGAGGGCAAGGCGCACGATTCCGCGAAATTTAATTCGCCCTGATTTCCAGGAGTCGGCTAGGTGTATGTGAGTTCCGATGCCTCTGTCCGAGGCCTCTGTGCGCACGACTCTTAATACTTTTCTCCATTTAATATTTTATCTTCAAGAAGCGCATGTGATTCGCAGTTTGAATTTGGTAAGTTTGTATGGGAGTGGCATGGGATGTATATTCTTTGGTAATGTGGATATGCACTTTGCCATCGTCAACGTACAATTTCACATAATTCGATGAGAAAATTTATAAAATCGATAATCCACCTAACATTCGCTATATTATCGTCTTGAACGTTGAAATTGATGGAATAAGTTGTCGAGACGTATTGACTTTTAGATTACACCACTTCACTTATACGATGAATTTACTTTAATTCTTATTTGAAACCTTAACAAATATTATCTATCAAACATTCTGTTAAATTATTTAAACTAAGAGCTGATAATTTATAATAATTAATTGCAATGAATATTAGCCAATTATCATTAATACCAAGCCATGTGTGTCGATTTTGTAATTATATATTTTTTATATTACCGAATTATTAGCATATTTAATTTAACAAGAAAAATTGTAATAAAAAATCTACCACTTCCTTTTTTATAAATATTATTTAAGTATTTGGCTTTGATTTTTTTTTTTTTAAATAAGATATTTAAGTAAAGTAGGATTATGAGTATTTTGGTTGAATATTGTTGATTTATTCTTATTTTAGCTCTTTCCTCATTCTCACACCTTTTTCTGGTTCTGTCTCTCTCTCTCTCTCTCTCTCTCTCTGTATGATTTTCTTTAGTTTTGACTTTACCTCCTGTTTTCAACCATTGTGCAAAAACATTTAAAGCAAATGGTTATTTTTACTTTATATTATATTAAGTGTTTTCGTAGACTTGTGTAAATGTACGTATGATAATAATGTAATCGTTATTTGAAATAAATATGTGATATGAATTGACTTAACATTCAAGTAAGAATTGAATTTTTTTATTTCATTAAATAAATGTACCAAATTATTCTACTAAACTTAAATTATTAATTTCCTTATTTTTATATTTTCTTCTGTTTCGGCTTATTAAGAATTGAATTCAAAATAAAGGGTATAAAAAGAATTATAAATATTAGTTTTTATCGTCTATAAATTATTTCATAGTCATATATGCTTATATGCATTGATTAAAGTATGATTTATTAGAAATTTGCAATATTCTTCTCTTTCTAGTACAATCCTAATTTAAGAATTACATTAAACTTTTCCTTATTTCTTATTAGAGAACACATTGTCTGCAAATTAACATGATAATTATAGTTTCGAACACAACATTATGTCTATTTTTTAAATTTAATAAACATATAGTTTTTAAAAATTTGTGTATGATTGTTGTTAACGCATACCGGCGTATTATTGATTAAAAATCTTCTATATGAATAATAATTATGTGCACAATTTTTATTTTTATGTTTTATTTACTTTGTAGATTTCGAATATTATTGGTATCACATTAAAAAATGTTTCTTCTTTTCTATTCAATAATATACACACCTTTATTATTACCCCATAAATAATATAGTGATTTATTTTTCACGTTATAATTTTATTTTAAATGAATTGATTTGATTTTTATACAGTTCTCTTATGATATAAAGAATCTAAATACATAAATGTGCCTTATAAGTAATATTGAAAATAGAACAATAGTATTTAAAGAAAATCTGATGGTTTTATAATATGGATTATTAAATATAAATGAAAAGTTAAAAAAAATTGTTTACCAAAGATTTAAAATTTACCAAAGTTTTAAGATCCATAATAATCGCTTACAATTTCAAGTGGCATTCCCTATTACAATAAAGACGACCGTTATGTTTCATTTTTCGGAAAAAGTAATAATTTTATGAGTATATGACAAGGCAGAACAGGTTTAATACTACCTTTTCTTTATGTTAAATGGAAGTATTATTAGACAGCATTTAGTGATTTTAATATATTTCAAACCCTTATGAAATTTCCATTGCATAAGTCACATTTTGTTATAAAATAATTCAATAATTTTTTATCTCACTTTAGACGCATTAAAAATTTATTAAAAACAATTAAGAAATATCACAATTTTTATATAGAATTGGTTCAATAACATTCAAATTCTATTCCAGCAAATTCTAATATTCATCTAATCTATTACATTATTTGCAAAATTCAATATAAATTAAAAAATTCATCATGTAAATAAGAATTTTCAACTCCCAAAGTAACAAATATATTGTTTACAACTTATGATTACAAAGATAAAGCAAATAATATATATTCCTTTTTGTAAGGAACCATTGATGGTAAGCACCAAATAGGCTTAATCTACGGAAATATTTACGCAATTGCCCCAGGCTACATAGTTGTATTGCGCGAAACGAAATATCGTTTCAATGAAGTAGGTAAAAGCTGTGGTAGGAAGCAACGCCATTTAATTATATAAATTAATTACTTTTTTAGTTACAGAGTTTACAAAAATGATTAAATCGTACGATTATTTGTTGTAAAATAAAAATTACGAATTACATACTAACGTAAAATAAATTCAGAATATTTTTCTATCTACGCAAACAAAAAAAGAAGAGATTATTATTATCAAGTAGTTTATGTGAAATATAGTCAAAAGAAATTTTTTAATCTACTAATTTATTACTAAAATGTCAAGTATTATGTATTATGCCTAAATATTATTAAACATATATTATTAGGAATTTTATAAAAAATGTTTAATCAAATTTTAATTTATTTATTTATTTTATAACTCTTTATACAATGCATAATGAGTCTTAGAAGAATTAAATTGATTATCAGTATTATCTACGTTAATGTTCGGACACGACTTTGTAATATAATAATGCATGTTGTTCGAAGAATTTGAAGATAAATTTTCTTAGAACAAATTGTTCTTTATGAGAAAAATAGGGTTATAATACTTTTTATAATTATTGTTATGATTTTGGCTTTATATTATTTTTATAATTTTTCAATATTATTTAACATAATTTTTTAATACATAGTACAAATATTATTGTCCAGTCAGTGTTATATTAATTTACATCTTTTTTCAAAATAAAATTAACGTCGCATGTAAGAATTATTCAATTTTGCGATTACACTGAGTCACTGGTATTAGAGAAATGTGATTTGTTTCTGCAAGTGCTATAATATGTGCATAGTTAACAATATCAGAAAAAAATTTGTTTATGCTACATTTCAACATTTATGCGAATGTGCAAGCTTGCACAATGTTTACGAGTTCATCCTATTCTAGTTTACAATTCGTAAAAATTATTGTCTTAACATGCTTGGTAACTTGGCCGTCAAAGTTTTATTAACAAAAATTAAAATTTTAAGCAATGTTTATGTATGAGGTATTTATTAAAGTATTCATTTTTTAAATCCGATATCGAAAAAATATATTCTACTGAAATTGTACTATAATTACGTATAGTAATGTACAATCAATACACCAACTATAATTACTATAGCAATAATATAAACCATAGAAATTTAATAGGAAGATATAAAGTAAAATATGAAGGAATAAAAAAAAAAAGTTAAAAGTAAGAAAATTATACGTAAATCTTCAACGACCAAATTTCATCAATTCCTAGGATTTACTATTTTATTACTTATTTGAGCTCATTTATGGAGTCAAGGTGATAACGCAGGAGTATGTTCTTAA